GTGTGTGTGTGTGTGTGTGTGTGTGTGTGTGTGTGTGTGTGTGTGTGTGTGTGTGTGTGTGTGTTTATGTGTTTACAGCAGTAAAAGGCAGATGGCTCAGTGACTTTTTTTCTGGCATGTAAACTCAGGCCACATATGTGCACACACACACACACACACACACACAGAAGCAGCTGCACAGCAGGGAGCAGGACAGAGGTCACTCAGTTTGCACCAGAACACCTACGACTAATTAAAATTAAAATATTTTGAATGTTTTATTGAGGAGGATCACTTCGAGGGCGAACGAAAGAACACAAAACAACCTCAGAAGGAAAACGACTAAACAATAAGGCTAAACAACTGAGTGTGTATTCACCACAATCTGTCTAAGAAGAACTTTGTTGCACAAAACATCCCACTGCAAAGTGTTTGCAAACCTACCTGACAGATAGCTACGCTTTTTGACTGCATTAACACTGCAGGGCTTAATGCTCAACTCTGATTTTTCAGCGCGAGCGTTCCCGTTGTGTTTTAAATGCGAACTCCATCTGACTCCAGTGTGAACTCGTGACGGCCCTGACGCGACCCGCATGTGCAGAAAATGACGTCATGTTCAGCTGGCTGTTTTCATTCATAGGCTACATATGAATGCTACACGTTAGCATGTTGATTCTGAAGTAGTTGCTCAATCAGAGCCGATTCAATAATGACCTAACACGCTTGTTTAGTTCATGGTTTACGTTTGAACATGCCTCTGACCGGATGCTCCTGTGCAGCATTTTTATTTCTGGACAAAAAGCGACATGCTAAAAGTAAAGTATCAATCATGTAACTTTAGTATCGATGCAGTCCGCGACTGACGTTTCTATCATATGTTTCTGTGGATTCTCAGTCATCCAGGACACGGAAAATTAAAAGAACAAGGACGAAGCAGCTGGACTTGTGTTCTGTAGCTGAAACTGTGCGAAGATGGAAGATATGACCTGCATGGCTCGAGTTTAGTATTGTTATTAGTGGACAGGTCTGCTTCTGAAACAGTACCACGTACTGAAAAGGTCTGGGTCGTATTTTAAAAAATCGGATTTGTCACATTCAGACTGTCAGGGATAAACATGATATGGGTCGCACGGGGCACAAACATTTCGATTTGGGTCACATTTTCCTGCAGAGTGAACGTAGACTTTGATACATAAATGTGTTCTGTACGAGCCCTGATCAGCTCTCACCTGGTGACATCATCTTCTGTTGTCATGGACCTGGGCAACGGTGAGTATCTGGGCGTGGTCAGAGGGGCGGGGCTTACTGATTGGCTGCCACTCATGTAGGGGCTTACATGGTTGTCCTGATGTGGGGAATACGCTGGTGAAGAAATAAAAAAAAATACAATGTTTTAAATTTCAACGAACAAACGTGTCATTTCAGGCAGTTTGAGAATTTATGGCACAGTTTTTTTGAGACCCAGTTTGATGAAGAGACGTGCTGAATGTGTCTGATTAATCTCGTCTGTGTCAAAACTGATGAATGCCTCCACGTTATAAAATTTTCTGCAACTATTTTAAGCGTAGACAGAAATAAACAACATGCTGTTTGACAGAATGCTGATTTGGGGAGATGACAAGTGGCTGTAAACCAGCAGACCAATTTTACTCCATTTTCTAATCTGACTCTTGTGTAACAAACTGATCACCATAAAAAAAAATCCAAAACTGTTTTTCAAAATATAATATACAAGATTTTTCATCTAGTTACCTTCAGTGCTTTCATAATTTATTTTTTTCCAAATTAGCTTTTTTAAAGGGATCTCCAATTAGGTTTAACATTAGACTTTATCTGATAAACATATATTTTAACTGTATAATAAAGACTGTAAAAATAATGTAGATTGTTTAGTTTTGTAAATTTTTTAAAATACATTTTAACACGGACGAAACCATTTTATTTACACACAAAGCATTCTGGGTAAATGATGACGTGGATAGGTCCTCGGTGTGAGCGAGCTATATCCACCCTGAAGGTTAATCTTGAACAATATCTGATGATCGACTCTTTGAAATGAAACCAGAGAGCGTTGACAGAGAGGAGAAGGTAGAAATGACTCAGCCTGTAACTGAAAATAT